TCAAAATCAATTTTTTTTTTTTTTTTTTTTTAACCTAGGAATTATTTGTCTCTCAATGAGGGCAGAATAACAAGTTTTCCCTCCAGCTTTGGATCAAATTGCTGAGCCTTGAGCTGAAAATTAAATGAAATACCTGGCTTCCTTAATTTAATATGTTGATAATTGTCAAATGTGTACAGGGTATGCATAGTTGATTTTAACAAATGAGTGTGTTATGACTCAATTTTGAATATCATCAGATTATTTTGAGGATGTGTGTGAGAAAGAGAGTGAGTTAGAGATCTTTTACTGGAATAGGGAAAACTTCAGAGTAGGCATGCTTGAAGAGCAAGGACTGTGCTCTCAGTAGTGGTACCTTAGTTCACAAACTTCATTCTTTGCACAATTTTGGTCATAAACTGATTTGGATAAGGACCAAATCAAATTCAGTGGTTAGGTTCAGTGTTGACTATATGGGAAAACTTGATTTGGTTCTCATCCAGTTTGGTTTGCAACTAGAAGTGTGGAGAGGATCGAGTTCGTGAACTGAGGCACCGCTGGTATTGGTAGGAAAGCACTGAGGTCAGTTCTTGGACCAGAAAGACTGTTTGTTAATGTAGTATTTATTAAAGAAATGCAGAAATGCCCATGAATAAGTAATTGCTAGTACCAAAAGTCATTCGAGGTGCTATGGATTGTTTAATAAGTTATAATACAAGCCAATCTATGCGGCACATTTTTTAAGAAATTCATTTTCTAAGAAAGCAAACTTATATTAGCTCAGTTGATTTTAAAGAACTTAGGTTAGGGCCGGGGATTAGCTCAGTGGTGCTGTGCCTGAATGGCGTTGAGTGGCCTCAGTAGCACAAGGTCCTGAGTTTGATTCCTATACCCCCCCCAAAAAAGAAAAAAAGTAACCCAGTTTAAGCTTGATACATAGGCTCCTCTTCAAAAATGCTTCACAAACCTTTAAAGGAAATAGTATATGGCCAAGACAAAGTCTCATTTTTGAGAAGAACTAGAATCATAGTATTTAAGTTTTTACTATATAGTTAATTGGAGAGTATGTTGTTTATGCTGCTGTGAATTGAAGTGGCACTGATTACTCATGACACATGGACTCAGTAAAATAAGATATGTAAAACATGTTGCAAGTAGTTACACACGAATAAGCTTGTATATCTGTAAGTTTTGTATAACTGTGTATTACAGATGTTCCCTAATCTATGACAGGTTTACATCTCATTAAGCACTAAAGTGAAAATACCGTAAGTCAAAGTTACATTTAATACAACTAGCCAATGCAACGCTATGCATTTAATGCCCTAGAAAATAGTAAAGGTTGTTCCTGACCGACTGGGGAGCCCTAGTCCAGACTCAGGATGGACTATCCTAATGTCTGCTAACCCAGGAAAAGATCATAATTTAAAGTATGATTACAACTGGAAATCACATTGAACCATTTTAAGTTGAGGACTGTCAGTGTATTTACTTTTAAATGATTCCTGGTAGGATTAGGAAAATTTCAGAACTTTTGAGGTGTTGCTAAAATTAATAAAGTTTCCCAGTGCATTCAGCTTACAACTGTTGCCCTCCAAAAATGAGTCTATTAGCAAATTTATACTGATCCTAGCCTCCTTGCATTCTTTAGGGCCAGCGTTTTCTCAAACTGAACTTACAGCTCTTGTTCTTGTGCTTCCTCCCAAATAATCTGACGAGAACATTCCGATTTGTGGGCAGGACTTCGTAATACCTGTGATGGTTTTCTAAACCTTTGGGGATTACGGTAGAAAAGGTTAGGGTCGTACACGACCTTCGCCAAAATAAGAAAGACGAAGTTGCAGTAAAGGGATTGTCAGTGTGGACAGTTCCGTCTCCAGTCTCATGGGCTTGCGGCGCCACGCCCCCACGTGGGCCCTGGAATTGCTCTTGGCCGCTCGCTTCCGGCCAGCGGCGGAAGTCGCTTCCGGGGCAGCATGGCGGCCGCGGAGGACGAGAGACAGCTGGGGAGCGGCGAGGGAGAGCGACTAGACTTTCTGCGGGACCGACACGTGCGGTTTTTCCAGCGCTGCCTTCAGGTCCTGCCGGAGCGTTATTCCTCGCTCGAGACCAGCAGGTAACTCGTGGGCACAATTAGCGGTCCCGGCCCCTTGTGAGTAGCTGAGCTGGGCAGCGCCGCGCCCACTGAACCTGATCTTCCCTCCTGTCTTCTCTCCGGCGGCCTGTGGCTGCGCTTGGCCGCAGACCTCGGCCACAGGGTTTGGGAAGCTGCGCCTTTCAACATTATTCCAGTTCCCTACCATTTTCCGGTCTACTCTGAGCTTCTTTTTTACTGTCTTGGAGCCTGTGAGTTGCTTCCTTACTAGTGCGGAAAGAAAATTACCGTTTATCGTCGTATCTTAAATATTCACTTCGGGGCTTCCTTTTCTTCCGTAGTTATTGACTCTAATTAAAAGCCAGTACGGCGTTTCATTTTGTAGGAGCGGCGAAGAGCCTGTTTGAGTAGATATTTACTTTCCAGGAATTGTAAATCTAATAGGCGAAAGAAGATGAAATGTTGCCTGAATCAGCCTGTATTATATTTGCAGTACTTTAGTGAAGTTGGAGTCAGCTAAGGAGTGTGATCTGGCTGAAGCCAAAAACTTACAGTAAAAAATCTGGGAATGAACAAACTAAAAGACGTTACTTGCTTCGCATTGCTGTGCTTTCAAGTGAGGCCCCAGAGTTGTGCGACTGGACAGGTAGCTCAGATTGTTTCACTCTGATGTCTCCCCACGGTTTCTAAACTCTGACCTGGTATATTTTTAACAGTGCCCGACTGGGTCAGTTTGGAGACTTATAGATTACTCCTGCACACACGATCAAAAGTACAGTTTCTGTGGTAGGTACTGGAATACAGCTGAACAAGTCAAGCAGTTTTGCTTTCATATTAGCATCAAACTCTACTGAAACTGCCTGCTGTCAGCAGTATTCCAGTATGATCATAGAATTTACACCAAATATTGCATATCAGAGAACAGATACTAACACCTTGGTGCATAGGCAGAGATACTACTTTGTTCTTTTTGCCTAGTGCTTGTCAATTGCTTTCATTTAAAAAAATCATTTTAGTTGCCCTGATTTAGTGACCACGCTTAAAAGATGTGTATCCGATTTTTACAGTTTTTTTTCTTTTTTTTTAGTTTTTCACTTTTCTGACTCACCGTCTTTACTTTCTTGGTTTAGTGTTAGCCCCCCCGTCCCCCCACAATGTATGTCATTCATAACTGAGGTTATGATGCTTGTGAAACAAAGGAGATTGGTCACAGAATTTATACTGATATTAAAAGTTCTAAGACAAAACAGTGTATCAACTAAATGACACTCTTACTCATCATTGCAGTTCACTTCCATAAGTGCTGAATTACTACCAGGCATAGAGATACAGGAAGACAGTGGTAAATGATTCAGGTATTCTCTGTTCGCTTCTTTTTTGCTTGTAGATAGGAAACAGCTGGCTCTTATGGCTAATATTAGACTGGATATTTAGACAATTATTTTTAAAAATTCATTGTCTAGGCAAAATTATTCCATATCTGTTTTTTTTTTTAGCCTGACAAATAGAAATAAATGATTTTCACTTTTCCATTAACAATGGCTTCATGAAAATAAATTTTGCTGTTCCTTCTGAGGTTTTTCGTTATAGTACTTCTGAAAAGTGATAGTTGCTAGTTAATTCAAGTGACTGTTAAACCTTAAACTGTGAGCTTTGCCAGATAACAAGTTTTATTTTTATTTATTTATTTATTTTTTTTTTTGGTACCAGGGATCGAATTTGGGTCCTTGCTCTTGCGAGGCAGGGGGTGGAACCACTGAGCTAAATCCCCGGCCCAATAGGTTTTATTTTTAATGAATGTGTAATTTAAGAGCTTTTTTTTTGTGACTGTGGTTATTGCCATTCTTATTGGTTAATAGAAATTAGAATGGGCCTTTTTTAATTGAACATTATAGTGAACATTTTCTAATACATTATTTTCACTGATCTAGAAGTTCTGGAAGGTTAGGCAATTAGTTTTTGTTTTATAAAGCATTTACAATTTGCCTAGTCTTTCTGTTCTCCTGTCTTTCCATTTTTTCTGGTGTGTCCTGTGTTGTAACTGCTCTGCTGCCTACCATTCTACAATGGTTGTGTCTATCATTTATCTCCACTACACAGGCTGATTGTGGGAGGATTTTTTGAGACAGGGTCTCACTATATAGTTGAGACTGACCTGGAACTCACTATGTAGCCCAGGCTGGTCGCGAACTCACAGCAATCCTTCTGCCTCAGCCTCCTAAGTGCTGGGATTACAGGCGTGTGCCACTACGCCCCACCTGTGGGAGATTTTTAATATTACATGAAGCACTTATAGAAATGTACATTTCCAGACTCCTCCTCAGATCTGCTGTTTTGTGTGCTGCATCGGCCTGGGAGTCTGCACCATAACCCGTATTCCAGTTTGAGACTGCTTGACAGAAATAAATATGCCAACAGATTATTATAACAGTGTTTCCTAACTCTTTTTTTATTTTTCCAGCTTTAATTGTGTTTATTGGTACATTTTAGGGATACAGTACAGTTCCTAACTCTTATATATATATATATATACTCTTAATTTATATACTAGTTGTCTGGAATCTTGTTAAAATGCAGATTCTGAACTGAGTGGGGTGGCACATGCCTGCAATCCCAGCACTTCGGAAGGCTGCGGCAGGAGGCTTACAAGTTTGAGCCCAACCCGTATAAGTTGGTGACTTACTGAAACACTATCTCAAAATAAAAAATACAGGAAAAAAAAAAAAAAGAAAGAAGGTAAGAAAAGTCTTAGGTAAATCTTCAGGGGGTTGGGTTCTGATGAGAAAGACCAGGTGGTTCTGAAATGCTGCAGTTCTAACAGGCTCCTGGAAGGTGCTGGTGCTGCTAGGCAGGACCATACTGAGTGTGCCTACATAGTGACAGTGATGTGTACAGGACCTTGTGAAAGTGCCTGACTCACTTAGCTCAGCCTGAAAAGGGCTCAAAGAACTCCTTTTGGAAGAAGGAGCCCCAGAACTGAATGTTATTAGAGTGTGTTCCAGTAGTTTTTGTTTTGAGTTTTGTTGTTTGTTAATCTGTACTAGTGATGGCAAACCTTTTAGAGACCCAAGTATCAAAATGCAACCCATTTGTATTTGTCACAAAGTACCAACACTGCAATTAAACCTGAGGTTTTAGTTCAGAAAAATAACAACTCTACATTTACATATTTTGTCTTAGATGAAATAATGCTAACACGTGTTCCATGGGTTTGCCACCACTGGGCTATACGAAGAAAGGCAGATGAGTGAAAAGCAGTTCTTTAATGTTGATTTAGAATGTGAAACAGGTAGAATTGAGTCAGAGGAGAAAAATGTGGGTCAGATCATTGAAGGCCGTATGTGATTTGTCAAGAAATCTGAATTTCATATATAATCATTGAACCACCAGACAATAGATTTTCACTGTTCAGTGGGCATTTTAGAGTGATCATTGTATTGCATGAAAACAAGGAGACCAATTTAGGAAGCTATTGCAGCAGTTTATGAAAGAACAGTTGGAGCTATAAAAGTTGGGATAGAAAAGAAAGGATGAAGAAAGAGTCTAGGGATTCCAGAATTGGAACTACTGTCTAAACTAGTGAACAAAAGATCAAAGTTTAGAATGGGTTTAGAAAGGTAAACAATTTCTCTACTTATATTTATTGTATAACCTGCTTCATGTTAGAAAGCTGTATTCATGTTTGTGATGAAATTTCATTCTGTACTAGTTGTTCAGTACATTTCTTCTTGAGTAATTATGATAGTAGGAAAGCTACTTTGCATGTTAAATAATTTTAAAATGTGTGACTGTGTTTGAAAATGTTTACCAGATGAGTCAACCATTTCAAAGTATGAATGAAAATTGCTTAAAATTTTAAGATTCATGCATTATTTCATTCAGTCATTTCAAATTATTTGTTGAGACATCTATTCAATAACATTTTAACTTCACAAGTAATCCTACTCTGTCATCTAAAGGCTCTCTGTAGTAGTTTTATCTATAACTACTGTTAGTAGTTTTATGTATATTTCTGTTTCTTTTCTAATCTTTTTTTTAACTAATTATATCAGTGCATTTTAGATACACATATTGATAACATTCATGTTATGGAATTAGTATTAGTACATGATATATCTTGATTTTTTCCCCCTTTTCCTCCCCTCCCTTCAATCCTTCTTGTCCTCCTTATTTACAAAACTTTGTTTGCATTCTTTCCTTCTCTTCTCTTTTTTTCCTTTCCCCTTCCTTTTTAATAAGATGAGATCACAGTCGTTGATTCTTTGTGATTTTTCTGGTGTGATCAGGGTTTTGTTCATAAAATCTTTGCTTATACCTGTGTTATCAATAGTTCTACCTATTCTATCTTCCAGCAGACTTCGTGTTTCTTTTAATATTTAGATCTTTGATCTATTTTGATTTTAGTTCAGTGCATGATGAGAGATATGAGTCTAGTTTTAGTCTTTGGCATGTGGAAAACCAGTTATCCAGCACTGCTACTAAAGATGCTATCTTTCTTCCAGTGAAGATGTTTTGCCCCTTTGTCAAAGATAAGGTGGCTGAATATGTTTGGAGTTGTGTCTGCATATTCTAATATGTTCCATTGATCCTTGGGTCGGTTGTTTTTGTTTTTTTTGCTAGTGCCTTAAGTAGCTTTGTACTGTAATTTCAGATCAGGGATTGTGATGCCCCCTGCCTTGCTTTTGTTTCCTAGAGTTGCTTTTGCTATTCTAGTTCTCTTCAGGTATAAGATTGTCTTCTCTACTTCTGTGTGGTATGCTATTAGTGTTTTGTTCAGGATTGCAGTAATTCTGTATAACAGTTTGGGGAGTATGGCCATTTTTAGTATGTTGGTCTTCCTACCCAAGAACAAGGGATATTTTTCCATTTTCTGATATCTTATTTGCTCTCCTTTTTCAGGGTTCTAGTTTTTAGTGTAAGGATCTTTTACTTCTTTTGTTATATTAATTCCTAAGTATTTTGTTTTATAATATTTTATTCTCTTGTGAAGGTATGGGTTCCTTAATTTCTCTCTCAGTGAG